CTGATATACTGTCAATATGATACAATTTGTTTTATATTATAAGTCAATGGATTAACTAAATTAAATTTACATATACTATATTACTCCCACCAAACATAGTTTGAGTTGCGATTTAGAGAAGCTGTCTGAGTATATATTTTTCTACACTTTACATATCAATCCCTCATAATAAATTGAAAGAGGAAACAAGACAAGACAATGGCAGGTTTCTTTTCAATAGATAAGTAAGTATATATCTTTCACTGCAATCATCTTTGTGAGGTTTTATACTTCTTGATTGACAATTAACAATTGACAATTTCTAACTAACATTGAATATCTAAGCACAAATGCCAAAGGGAAAGGACCAAAAACTGTGAAGAAACCTAGCAAGAAAAGCAAACTTTAAGTGTGAACCTCTCACAAGAAAAATAGATCCTTTATATATCCCAAAACTATGATCTAACATGAATTGAAATAATGTCTAACACCTCCTTCCCCCTTCAATCAAGAACCAATGTCACAATCCAGGACCAGAACACCAAGGCACATTTCATTCATTGAACTAGACAACAGCATATATTATAAGTTATATGATAAAAGATGATTTTCCACATTTGGTTAGTGATATCCCATTGAACCCAGCATGTGGAGTCTATGATTCCTTGGTTATCAGATATAGCGGGGCATGCTCAGAATATTCAGATTTTAAGTCAAGGCATGATATTTTTGTGTTAAAACGCCAAGGTTATACTAATAAAATGCGTAAGAAATATTTTCTAGGCTTTGCTGTAAAATACAAGTCATTGATTTTGAAGTTTCAAGTTTTGCCACTTGATATGCTTAAGGATGTTGGAAATGTTTTATTCACCGAAGTATTTTTGATGTTTTGAGTACTGGCTATCAATTTTCAATTAATTCTTCAACATGTATTTTATGGCTTCTGTATGAATGAAATGTCTCTTGGTGTTATGGTCTCATATTGTGACTATTGATACTTGAATGGTGGAGGAAGGAGGGTATAAACTGTTTAGAGAGTAGCGTTGGATTATGATTGAGGATAGTTGGGATTTATTTTCCTTATGACTGGTGTACTCTTTTCTTTTTCTTGTTGTGTTCTGTAAACATTATTGGTATTTTTCTGTTGACACTTGCACATACATATTGAAGAAATGTGTTTTAGGCTTTGCTGAAAAATACAAGTCATTAATTTTGAAGTTTCAAGTTTTGCTTCTTGATGCTTAGGGATGTTGGAATTGTTCAGGATTGGCAACATACAATTTTTGACTTGGCAGCTTTTTAAGGTATTTATGGTTGAGAAATAGGACCAAAACCAACCATAGTTTTCTCTTGGTGACCATTAAGTGAAATATTGATTAATGACATCAGCTTTGCAAATTGATGTTAACCCTTTGATATGTTTATGGACTTTTGAGACTGGATTTTGTCTGTCCCACATCATTTGAGACTGAAATTTCCCTTTCTATTAAAAACGGTTGCCATGTTTTGTTAATCATATTTTCTTCAAATTTTCAAAAAAAAATCTTCAAAATTCCAGTAGATTGATTTGGTTCAAATTTGATATACTTATGTCTTAGGGTCATAAGACCTCTGCTCAAGAAGGAATTTTCAAAACGTCAAAAATTTTTTGTGTTGAAAAAATGATTTTAATGACTCATATATCCATCATTAAATTTTCTCTAAATTTTAAAGGCCATGTGGAAATAGGATCTCTCATGAGAAATGATTTCTAATATGGCCGCTCATTTCTAAATGCCTGCCATTTTCAAGAGAAATATAATTCATGATAACTCCGGGTTCTATTCCCGTTCAAACAATGTGTGTGTTATGTCATTTAGGGCGTTTTGACGGAATGGTCCATAACTCACTGTGGTGTTGTAATGACTGTGTTTAAGTGAACACAGGGTGCCTCCAAGGAGCTGAGGTTACTAGCTCTGTCTTCAAGTATAAGATAAGGAAAATACCAATTAGATATTGCTTGCCAGGATATGATGGTGACCAAAATACAATACAATGCAATTGATACCATACAATATAGTTCCTCTTCTTGAGAAGGAATTTCTAACATGGTGTCATGTCTCGAGTGTAAATTTTGCTAACAAGAGACAATACCTTGTTATTTCTGTCATGAAAATATTCCAAATGAGTGATTTGTAAAAAATTTTTTTGTTTGGTGGGGGCTGCTACTCCGCAAAGCTACTCTTTCTAACTTTTCAGAAATGATCATAGCTGGAATATGGATTCAACATTTTCTTTCCTTTAATGTTGCGAATAGTGCATTTAATTATAGCCTCAAATACGTCATGAGAAATAAGATACTACTCCCCCAGCTGGTTTTGAAACACAGTTACTTTGGAGAGTCTGAAAATTATTATAAATCTGACACCTGTTCATTGATACATGTGTTCTTATATTCTTTGAAATTAAAGGTATTTTATTTCTTCTTATCTTAGTTTATTGCCATAAGAAGAGTAGGGTGAGTTGGTGAAAACGCATGATGTGAGTGGGAATTTTTGATATGCTAACAATATGGTTTACACCTTTTATATTTTCAAGTGAAGGAAAAATATTATATTTTTTGTCAAAAAACATGAGATATGATAACAAATCTGATGTTTAATAGATTTTTTGTACTTTTGCTTTTTTCAATTCAAAAAATGTTATTTGAACAAATAAGCATTGCTAACTCATAAAAGAAATTACAAAACCAGCCTCTTTTTGATTGTAGCTTAAAGAATGACAACCTTCTCATAGTAGATAGGTACATGTTTTAGAAAACACATTAATTTACCTTGGCAATGATGTGCACAACCACACTTTTGAGGAAGTAAAAGCATTATAGTCATATATATTCAGAGTTGTTCAATCATTGCTTTACTTCATCATTGCTTTACTTAACAATTTCCTCTTTCACCTCTTTGGCTTATTCAATGTATGAAATGCATGCTTGTATTGATGAGTTGCAGTTATTATTGAAAATATAGATTTGTGCTGTTATCTCATATCAACGTAAGTCTAAATTGAATTTTACAATGATGAATATCTCTTTAAATGTGTTATGATTAGAAAGGAATTCTTATATACAAATGTGAAATATTTCATATTTGGACTGATGTTACATCTATAATATAAAAACTGCACAGTGAACCTATTTCATATTATACAAGTGCAAGCACATGGAAATGGTTATGCTTTGTGTAAGAACTCCACCTGACAGATTGTATTTGAAATGTTTGCCACAATCTAACAATCAAAAATATATGAATACTGTTTGATGGATTAGGTTCATATTTGATGTGACTGCTTTTATATAAATAGAATGATTGCCTCAAATCTTCACAAAATGACATCTTTAATTTTAATGGCATTTTTACAGCTATACTATATAAGAGTCAAAAATATATTAAGAGTACTATAAACATATTTTGATTTATTGTCATTAGGCAATATCTTAAGGAGACTTTATGCCTTAATTAATATTGATTCACTTTGAGGATAAGACTGAAGTAATGTAGCCATACTTTGGATCTATTGGCTTTAAAGACAAGTGAAATGGTATTATAACATGGCTATACACTTTCCATTTAGAATTAGATCAGCGTGGTATTCCATAACTGATTGGTCTTTATTGGTCTGGCTTGTGCCACCTTAATTATGTTTTTCATGTTAATATACTTGCTCTCTTTTTCTATAACTATCGAATGTTGATTTGAATTATTTGAGGTTTTAGTAAGTTTAGTGATATGCTGAGAAATTATTAAATGTGTGAAAAATGTTAGATATTATATGTGTTTGTTTTATATATTTTGCTTCTTAGTACATAATTATGTACCATGCTATTTCTCTCAAGAGTTCATAAGACTTATTTCATTAAATGTTTTGATTTTTGATTTTAAATAGTGAAGTCCAAAAGGGCACAATATTTGAGAAAAGGATTCTGGTTCTTTGGAATTACTTAAGGTGGCTGTAGAATAACGAGGTGATTGCTGAATATTTGTCACATGACTGAAGTTGTTTTTCACCATGTTCTCCTGTTTGACATTTCCTCTATTATTAAAATATGAATGTCTACATTGACAGCAGCCATAGTAAATCATTCAATGTAAAGTTGGAGTGACAGATTTTCTATTACAGACAATTATGGTATGGGATGGTGCCTACTTATCAACAGTTGTGGAATAATGAAGTTAGGGGGAGGGGGTTAATTATAGATTCAATAGTAAAGATTTAATTTTTAATAATCAAGTGAATTAAGACAAACCTACATTTTAACATTTCATTAGATGACGAGGGGGACAAAGAATTCAATTGAAAAAGGTCTATTGAAAAAGGCACCATTTAACTAGTGTTACACTTTTATGAAATTTATTTAAACAGCATCCTCCAGGTGTCCATAATCTGTATATCTGTAAAAAATTCTTCTTCCCCCGAAAATTGTTTTAGGCAATTTGAACACCCTTTATATGACGTAGTGATTTATAAGCGTTAGTGTAAACATGTACTTCTAATCATGATTCAGTTATTCTGGCCACACAAATTAATATAATATGTGCTGTTATAGTTATAGAAACAGAAGCTAATTGCAATTTTACCATCATGTATTCTGAGAATCTGATCGGCATGACACCAACATTAATATTGTATTATAAGAAGAGCTTTATAAAGAAATAGTATGTAAACTAGTCGTGATTCCTAATTGATCAATTTATAATTTATCAAAGTGGAATGAGGATTATAGAGTTCTACAAATATGCATTATGTCATTTGAGAAATTGATTAGGTGTCTGCAACTGGATTAAGCAAAAGAAACAACTTATTATGGAATAGTCAACTCCAAATATTAATAAACAAGTCACACTAAGCTTGGTGCTGATCATGCAGTCTTTCTGTTCATACACAGAATGATGTGTTGAAGTCATATCATGTATACCTGTACATGTATGGCTGCCAATGGCTGAGATTGAAGATGTGGTGTTTAATGATTCTTCTTTCTGTTTCAGAACATAAGGGATTACACATCATTCAAAAGCTATGCTATCTATCATAAAACAGAGTTTATCATCAGATGAGAGCAACCCAATCTGCAAGTTTTTCCAACTAACAAGACATGCTGCTAGTGCTGGGCCAGAAATGGCATGGAAGATATATGATGCTCAGAGAATATCAGATGGTCAGGTTCGTACAGAAATATTCATTATATTTTTACATAAATGGGTACCTATCTTGAAGAAAAAACAAAAAGTAGCAGTGAAGGAAAAGAAATTACAAAATTTACTCAATATATTACAATGACGGATAACCTTGAGATATCTGTTATCTAACTGGTATAAAATAATAAGTAGCCAGCTGTGAACCAACTGGATAAGCTACAACCTCCATTTATCATAAAAATTATATAAGGTGTGTCTGTTGACCTATCTTATTGTGCATAATATCAGAATTATTTGTGTGAAATCCAATACATGTTCAATTGAAATGTCAAAGTAAATTCACCTATACGTATATATATTTTTACTTAGTTTGCCTTGAAAATATTTTAAATGTCAGAAATTTTTTTTATTTCTGAAGTCCATACATATTTTGCTCAATAGATCAATAGAGTGATACACAGAATTGATACACAATGGTTTTGATTTGTGTTGTACTTTTCATAAGCTCACATAGAGGGTAAAAGCCGAGAAATGATTGTCTACCATAATGTTCATATCATATGAAAATTTAAAGATTAACTATAACTTTTGAAGCACTAATAAGAATATGTGACATCAGGTATTGTTACATCATACCAAATCGATCTGGAATAGCTTTATGCTTAGAGGAAAGGACAATGGGAATTTAGCATAAAAGTACATGTACTGAGACTTTGAATGTTAAATGGACCAGAATGGAGAGATCAGCGAAAAGTATGTTTTGGAGAAATTGCAAAATATCAAGAAATTTAATTCTAATGAATTCAGGCATTTTGTCATCTAAAATATTTGGTATCTTTTCATATTTGATCAGATATTAAAAAAGGAAATAGGTAGATAGGTAAATGAGAAAGCAATCCGCAATTACCATGCCTCTCTTCTTTATAATTATTTCCTCCAATTTTGTCTGATAAAATAACATGATATGAAATAGTTGTTGCAAAATATTGAATTCATAGTATTCTTATTTGAAAACAGCTAATTTGATAATTACTAAGTGTGCCATGGACTTTGAAATATAAATGTGCAAAACATAACATGATGCATAAACATTGAAAGCATTTGACATTGTATATTTAGGGTTGACTATTATTTTGTTTAATATTATGGACTGTGGAGGTTAGTTTGTTAACCCAGTGACCATCTTATGGAGTTGGATTTGGTTGGTTGGATTTTATCTTTCCACTTTTATTTGAGTGGTCATAGTCCATCTTGTATGAGTCCTAGAACTATTTCAAAAATATTTGAAATTTCTGTTCTTCAACTGCAATGACTTCAGTCATTGAATAAAATGTGGTTTTGTTAATGGTTTCTGAACTGTTTCTTTGTGTATCATAGCATACTACAGGGTGTCCGGAAAGTAAAGATACAAATACTCTTATTTTTAAAAAAGGTTATTGTTCAGGTTATTGGGGCTTGTATTTCTTATGTCTTGAGCTCAGAAATATTTCCTCTTGCTATATTTCAAATGATAGGAATATTCGAGATTTTTTAATGTCTTGGTATGTGTAGCAAATTAGAGTGTCTCAGTGGTGAAGATGTAGATTTGGTACTATTAATCATGGGTCTCGATGCCCCCACAGAGGAAGTACACTAAACCACTTAACCACAAAAATCATCAAAATGAGATTATTTGTACTATTTGTAACTATTGCTTATTTGTTTTTTTGTAAAACTGTTGGAGCATTGAGGAGACAAGCATATACTTTCTTATCCTTGTACAACTAGACATTAGGCTAGAATATAGATTTTATAAGAGGGGATAAATCAGAAGGTCTTTATGGAGAATTTAAGGGGCTTAAAGAGGTCACATGGTGATTAAGAGACCTTTGATAGTAAAAAACATGGTTTGCCAATTTTGTTTTATGTTTTTCCTGAGTCAATAGTACTTAATTGCTGTTTTAATATGGAAATGCAGAGTTTTGCCTATCATTAGAACATGTTGCATTATTGGAGATAGTTATGTTCATTCTCAGAATTTGCTTCATACATTTATATACTATGTATTATACATATACACAGCAAATATATGGAATTTATGTCAACTCCAAAAAGTGGTGACATATTGTTATTGGTTCTGTTTTTTATAATGGCGGTTAGTGAACGGCGGTTGGAGTCTGTAACAATATTGTGAGCAACAAGGTGGTGATATTTTGTCATGTTAATTTATTCATATAATTATGATGGGGTTGATTGTTTTTGGATATATATGTTGATTAGTTAATCTGAAACAAAGGATCAAATCCTATGCCAAGGGCTGATGTGAAAAGGTCACTCCAACTCGATATACAAATATACAATTAATGTTGGCTATTGCGAAATATCTTCTTAAAATATTATTTCGAAGTTTATTAAAACTATTCAAATGAGACATTTTCCTACCATGCAATCTAATTTTGAGTTAAAGGTAAACGTTAAAGAGTAAATTGAAAGAGCATTTCAATACCCAACAACAATGACAGTTATTTATCTCAAATTACTCGTGACAGTTAAAGTGTTTCAAGGTCTTCATCAGTTTGCATTTTCATGCAGCAAAACAGTGGATATGGCAACAGTTTCTCCACATTTTTATGGATTTTCATATGAGAATATGACTGTGATATAAAAATACTTTGGATAAGATGTATTGGTTGATTTTGTGACCCGATTCACCCTTATAGATAGATTGTATGTTCAGAGAACAACCTGAATATTCAAAATATAAAGATGCATGTTGCAATTATGCTGATATGGCCTTAAATTGACACTTTGAACTTAGGTAACGATTACTACTAAGTGACACCTTGAATCAGTAAAAGTTAATTTCAACAAGGAGGTGACTGTCACATAAACAATGATAAATGGACAATCATGATTAGATATTGAACAGATCTACTAAGTTTGAGATGTCGAGATTTAGTGTACCGTATGTTACAGTATCTCATCTATTTTTGTTGAATAAGTGCAGTTTTACTACTATGCTCAAGGTTCAGTGAATAAATTACAATATATTGTGAAGCTAGGAAATAAATTGTATAAATTGTTAACAGGGACCCATGAATGATGCTGCCTTAAAGACCCAAGGGTGCCCTCACACCCACTTGAAAAACCTAACTACTGTATCTAATGAACAAACTACATGTACATACACTAACACAAACAAGAAAAGGCATGAACAAAGTTTTAATGCCTGGCTTGGGAATTGAACCTTTGATCTCTCCGGTGACGGCTTCTGCTCTATTGTTGAGCTATAAAAGCCTTTGCTTGAATAGCTATGCCACAGTCATTGCAACATAATATCCAGGATATTTAAACAGTGTTTCGAATAATTCCATCCCTGTTTGAATTTTAGGATGTTGACTAAATTATTTCACATATTGTTCCCCTTGTATTGGTAAATTCTTTTTGGACTAATACCTTGGTTAATGTAAATATGTTAAGGTAGAACTGACTTTTTCTCTACAATTCAGATTTTCTTGAAAAAAATGGTGAAAGATGTAAAAATTAGACCGTTTAGTTATTTCTTCAAAAAATGTTTTAATTTAACATTGCTCTCAATGGGAGATTCTTTTTTATTTTTTAAAAAAGTTGCACAATTCAGATTTTTTCAAACAATGTGATTATTCTATGAGAATACAAAAGTGCTTAAAAATATTTATGAAAATTCAATGTCAGGATCTTCAGAAAAAAATTAAAATAACTTTGAATATTATGAATCAGTGGGAAATTGTTTTAGAAAGTAGCAAACCAGTAGTTACAGTGAAACCAGTAAAGTGGATGTGATGAGATGCATATGAAATTTTCAAGGATGTTTCTACGTATGAAAGGTTAGAATTGGTAAGTTTTTGGGCATTCTTGGTAAATGTTGAGGTTAGCCTTTTTTGGATTTTCCATCCTAAAATCTCATCTGTAAAGTCTTGAATTGTCTAGGCCTTTTCAGGCGAACCGTTTTAAGATCCATATCCATTCTAGGTTAGTATTAAGGTGACTATTTTGGATTTTCCATTCTAAAATTTTATCTATAAAGTCTTGTCTTTATGATTCCTGATGAACCAGAGGACGAATCAATTTCAACTTTTTCAGGACGATTCTTTGTGTAAAAAGTGATTAGTTTTTGGGCATTCTGGGTAAATGTAAGGTGGCAATTTTGGATATTCCGTCAAGGGTGCGATACTGTCCACTCTGTGTATTGTTCAAATTTGGAAAGTGTGAATTTCAGATTTTAATTCATGGATAAAGTCTTCAAATAGCAACAGAAATGCCAATTTACTCTTGAAAGTATCTCAGAGGTATACATTGATGGATATGGTCCACAATATAACCCCCTACCCCGAGAATTTATGTATACAGTTTGGACCATACATAAATGAATACTCATAAATGAATACTCATTTATTTATAGTTTAAACTGCATATTGATTGATCTTTCTAGGAGACTGCTCAGCTTTAATTATTTCTCCAACAATATTTTTATCCGTTGATAGGAACTTACAATACAAAACCACTATGGTGTTCTAAAGAATCATCACTTTGGGATTACCAATTCATGCCTTCTTGATGTTTTCTATTAATAAAATATATGATTTACAAACTTTGGCAGCCTACAGGGATTCTTTTCTTGTCAGTGCTTATTTATATTTGAGGTATCATCTGACATACTACTCCCTGCAATTTGAACCACAGTTCCTTGAATTGAACTCAATAATACACAAGTTGCCATTCAGGGATAGACTATAGGAAGGATTATGTCATAATTTACAACATTTACAGTATTTCTTCAGTTATTGACCATTTTTGTTAAAATAGCTACTTAGCTGACTCGACCCTTTGATAGTTGATGTACTGAGGTCATCACAAATGGTTGCTCATCTATTCCATGTCTAAATCCAGAACCCCTCAGGGGATTTCGTATCTTGGAACATGAACAGTAAACTGACATTAGATTTATAAAAGCAAGACACAATCAATGATTTGAATGATCCACTTACTTTAGTTAGCTTGCTCTGCTCCTTGTCTCTATGGCTATATATCATCAAATAGTCTACTGCATTTCTCTTGAGCAATTAACAACCAACTCTATATACCTTTTAAAACATTGTAGATCTTATTTACCTATGGCGGATCTGGGGGGGGGGGCATGGGGCCCAGGTTGGCCCAGAAAAAAAAAGTTGAGCCCAAAAAGATTTTAGGCCAATAAAGGCCTTAAGGCCCCAAAAAGTGGGCCTTTTGGTCATTATTACCTTCTAAGGCCTTATTTTTTTAATTTTAGGCCAAATTTTGAAGAAAATGGGCCTCAAATTTTCAAAATTTTCGGTTTTAGGGGCCCAAAATTTCTTTATGTGCAAGCGCGAAGGTTTTTTCTTTGACCTCAAATTTGGGCCCCCCTGTGTTGGTTCCTGGATCCGCCACTGTTTACCTCACATTCTTAACTTTAATTATGTAAATCTTCTTTTATGTGCTCGCGAATTGGAATAAGAAACAATGAAATTATTTAATTCTTGAAAACAAGACAAATACTCTAATTTGTAGGCATCATTTACAATACTCTTTTGAAAATTTGATTTACTAGCGATCATCTTGACATTGACCTTACATAGGACAGAAAAGATATTGTATGCAAGTGAGAGTGTGCTCAATGTTTCTCACTTACATTGTAGTTATCTACGATTAAATCCACTCAATCCAAATGTTAATATAATATAATGTGTGAAATAAACAACATTACATTTCCATTTTCAAATATTAAGAATGTTCTTTACTTATTCAATGGCCATCTCCATGTCATTGCACTGCCTTTGCATCATTTTATATTGCTTCAATTGCTCTATTAATTTAACTTTATGAGAAATAATGCCATAATACTAAATATTCACTAAAAGAATTCCTAACAATGGACAAAGGGAAATAGCTTAAAGAAATAGAACACAATTAAAATGAGATTCAAGTCAAGATCCAAAACACACAGAAACGGTGTAAAATGACCTCCATTCCTCCAATATTCAAACACTGTTACCATGATCCAAACCACAACTCCAGAGGGACATTTTAATCACACCAAAGTCATGATTAGAGTCAAAAGAAAAGGAAATTGACTCATCAAAATTGAATAATATGAATAAGATGTATAAGTGACTGGATCATTATAGGTCACATTGACATGGTTTTACTTATATTTTTAGAAAATGTTTTCAATGTTACATTATAATATATGTATACACTGTATGCTGCCATTGTAATTATTTGAGGAAAACATTTTCTAAAGGGCACTCATAGCAGTAATCTCCACACCGTCAAAGCAAGTGGGCACTGCACCCACTTGAGATTTTAAAATAGGCTTGCAATCACCCGGGAATCCAACATTGGCACCCACTTAAAATTGGAAGTTATAATGATATTTTTTATATTTTTCATTTTTTTCATTTAAGTGTGATCTAAATTGTGATATTTAGAATTGTGTACCCACTTGAGAGAATATCCTGGGGAGAACACTGAACATTAATATGATTATACAAAATAATTGTAGGTGTTTGTGGTTCAGTATAAGATATGTGATAATGATAGTTTTTAATATCAATGGCTTACTACTCCTTTTTACTAACCTCTTAATCGGAAAACAGAAAAACATGTTCATAAATCCTCATTCAATGATGGTGAGAGGAAATGACCAAACAGAAATTTTCCCTCTGGCGATGTCAAGGTCTCTCGCTCAGTGAGCTCAGGTGTTTCTGTTAAAATGAGTTTAGACAAAGTTATCTTTAAAAAAGCTAAATCAAACAAATGTATGGGGTAGCTTTTCGTAATTTATTATGATATTCCTGCCAATTTTAGGATGACTGATACCTATTGCTGTCTATGAAAAATGGAATATTTGTATTTTATTTTTTAGTATGCATCTGTGTTCCTGTTTGAAAAAAAGATTGCTGATAAACTTCATAAACCCAAACGACGTGAAGCAGTCACAGAAATTCTGCGCAGAGAGGTTCGCCACTTGGAGGAATTTAAACACCCACGTTTTCTTAAAGTAATCCATCCTCTAGAGGAATGCAAGTAAGTTGGACTATCCTTTTGTAATTATAGCTGTGAACATTTGTGTAGTGGAAATTAGGCATATCCGCATTGACTTAATAGGTTCCTGGCTGCAAAAGTGTGATTGCTAAAAGAAGACAATTTGTTGAAATAGAATTGGTCCCCATATCAGAGGTTATTCACCACTTAATTGGCTCATGGATATCAGAGTTTCATAATATTAATTGTGAAGGAAAGTTAATCCTGGCTATGGCAACTATTTTTGATATTAGAGTATTAGTCTTTTCTTCTCAGTAAATTGTTCTTTAACATGTATTGTATTATTGACTTATGGATTCAGTATGGATTTAATTCCCAAGGGTCTTGTTGTTTAAGATTGTGACAATTGTTTTTGAGCGTTGGGGAATAAGATGTTGTGTCTTTGTATGTGAGATGTTTTCTGGTATGTTTGGTCCTTGTCCTTTTTGCACTTGGACTTACATCTCATCATTTGAACATAATTCTTTGTGGAAATAAGTCAAATGCAAAAAATCATATTTTTGTAAGATTCCAATAAACATGCAACTGGTTGTAATTTCAGTGCTTTATTCTTACATTACGTTACTTGTCAGCTACTTCATTTTTTTAAAATCAATACTAGTATAATTGTAGTGCAGAGAAGTATCATATCATCAATTAAAAAGATTTGGTACAAAATGGTTGTTCTGAAAATATAATTTTTTTCACATTACTTTGAGTTAATACGATTGTCTTTTGAACCTAATAGACCTGTCTCATTCAAAAGATCTCACAGAACTCTATCTTCCCTGAAAATCTAGTTTTATTGTCTATCCCAGATATTATGGCACTACACTGCAATCAGCAATGCTGTTCATATTCAAAATAGACTGAACGCCAAGAGTAATGTGTCAATAATAACAAATTGTCAGAATATTCAGTTTTAGGCAAATTAAAAAATAATGGCAAAACTCAAGATATGTGCCAGCGACCCCCTGGCAATGGTCATGTAAGTGAAGGGAAGAAAGGGGAATCAGACATAATGTTTCTTTTCATGTTACATAGATTGTTTACTATATGACTGGTTTTATTCTTAGATGTTTCATTTCCATGCTTTGTATTCTAAAACATTTTAGTTTTTCCATTTGGAACTTGTGCATAACTGTTTCTTTGTTTTATATCCATTTCTGCTACTACTCCTATGTTATGTTTAAACCCCCTAAGCTCATATTATAGTCTTCTTCTATACAATCAAAATGTGATATGAGAAATGTACTTCAAAATCTTGTCTCTGAAATATTTTCTTGTTTGAGAAATTGTGCATAGTGACAATTAAAAAGTAATATGATATTTAATTATTTGATATTTAAGTTGTGTTAAAAGCCTTGAATTATGAGATCAGTAAATTAAGGATGCTATATATGTATATGGGATTGTTTCTTTGTTTAGCCAGGTTTATATTCTCATGAATTATTACTTACTGTCATGATATTTATCAAATACACGTTCTTCATCAAGAAACATTTACTTAAGTCATGCAACACATTCAGTGATGGCTATTTCAAGATCTTCTTTGTTGAAACAGTTCAAAAATCATGTGCCTTTGAACGATTAATTAATGGTTAAGGACATTGCCCCTTCACCCTTCAGAATCAATTACAGTGATGACATTGAATTTATAGTTGTGATTGCCACCAATAAAAGGTCAAGACTGACAATTTCAACCAATTATTTGTGCATATTTTATAGACTTGAGGCGAGTAAAAATAATCTTGATTTATGTCATAAATATTCAAAATTCAGTCAAAGTGATGTCATATTTGAAATCTACATGTAGTACATCTATAAATATGGTTTCTTAATTTGTTTTTTTTTTTGAAAATGGGACTTCTAGTCCGGGTTGATTCCCCATAGACCTCATGTTACCAAATCACAAAAAGTGAAATATATTTTCTTGGATTGGGCACATAATATTTGCGTCCTGGACTGGACTGGACATATTTTAATTTGCATAACTATTAAGGAGGGTAATATGAAAGTTGAACCACTAAAACAGATGTAATTTACTATCTACTATACCAGCCATGCTCTCTGGCCCGAACGAGTCACCTGGTGGTGAAACTGGTAACTACCTACTAACATCTGCGTCATTCATATTGATTGATCAAGGAACTAGTATGTTTGTAGGTTTTTGATGGAATGTCATTCACTTGTTGTCTCTGCTCCTCAAATAACACTGCCTTACCATACAGATTTTTCTGTTTCCTTGAAAAACGTGTCGAAGGCCATGGCAGCCCTAACAAACAGAGCAAAGCAAACCCTTTCATCCTATGTCCATTAAACTGTATGAAATGTACATTATGGAAAGTCAACTACTTCTCAGGTAAAGCAATACTGAAATAGATTTAGAAATAAATAAATTATTTGATATTTATTCACAAATGCCACCAAATGAAACATCAAAAATTATTTGTTTTAATTTTTTGTAAATACATCTAAAAAAATCATCCATCTTGTATGAGTACTTGTATCTACAACTATTTTTAAGGTAATGAGTATTGGCTATCAACTTCTATTTTTTTCTTCAACATGTATTGTAATGACTTCAGTATGAATGAAATGTCCCTTGGTCTTCTGGTCTTGGATTGTGATATCGGTTCTTGAATGATGGGGGAAAGGGGGGTTTGTTTTTCTTGACTGGTATGCCCTTAGAGTTTGCTTTTTCTTGCTAAGTTCCATTACAACTTTTAGTCCTTTCCATTTGGCACTAGTGCTTATATATCTAAAATATGACCAATGACCAAGACCAATGACCTCAGGATGTTTCAATCATTGTTTATCATACATGCATTGTATCTCAGTCAATCGAGTTAAAAAGTCAAGCAAAATATATACTGTATTGTTTTATCTAATATATTTACAAAATGAACATGATCCCACACAATATTTATTGTATAACAGTATTTGTCAACAGAAATAATCAAATGATTAATACAAATTGACAGTGTTATAACGTTTTTATATTGAAATTGATCTTTTTGTTGAGGCCTTATAATTTCCAATTAATTTATCAGTCTGGATATTAATAAGTATTTATAAACACAGATTACAAAATCCTTGTGTTGAAAACCTCCCAGATTGTTCAGCTTCATGGTCGATGTGTCATTTTCTGAACGTTTGAATTTGTAAAAACACGATGCTTTATTGTGTTACCACTATCATAAGGGTTTTATGAAGTGATTAAGCTGAGTTGGACAAAAGGCACCCTTGGGGAAAAAATTTTATATGCACATGAAGGTGGCCATTATCTATAAGTGACTTTTTGAAAGCCTTTGACTCAATTGATTTACATATTGCACCTAAATTACTGTAAAATCGGCACTAAAAATGACCTAATGGTACTAATTTACTTTCAAACTATGAAATTAACTGTGGAATAGCGGTAACATGGTGCAGTAGATATATGACAGAACACCAACACAGTGTCTCATTCAACCATCTTTCATTTTTATCGTACCTAACCTAATAAAGGTACGATATTGTCGTCAGCTTGACGGGCGGGCGGCGGGCGGGCGGGCGTCTCACTTTTCAGCTTGTCTACAGGTTTCCAGCCAAACCATTTGACAGATTCATCTGAAATTTTCAGGAATGTTTCTACTTATCAAAGTTAAGAACTGATTAGTTTTTGGGCATTCTGGGTAAATCTTAAGGTGGCCATTTTGGATTTTCCGTCCTAAAATCTTCACTTTCAAGACTTGTCTACAGGTTTCCAGCCAAACCATTTGACGGATTCATCTGAAATTTTCAGGAATGTTTCTACGTATCAAAGTTAAAAACTGATTAGTTTTTGGGCATTCTGGGTAAATTTTAAGGTGGCCATTTTGGATTTTCCGTCCTAAAATCTTCACTTTCAAGAATTGTCTACAGGTTTCCAGCCAAACCATTCGACGGATTCATCTGAAATTTTCAGGGATGTTTCTATGTATCAAAGTTAAGAACTGATTAGTTTTTTGGCATTCTGGGTAAAATTTAAGGTGGCCATTTTGGATTTTCCGTCCTAAAATCTTCACTTTCAAGACTTGTCTACAGGTTTCCAGCCAAACCATTTGACGGATTCATTTGAAATTTACAGGGATGTTTCTACATATCAAAGTTAACAACTGATTAGTTTTTGGGCATTCTGGGTTAATTTTAAGGTGGCCATTTTGGATTTTCCGTCCTAAAATCTTCACTTTCAAGACTTGTCTACAGGTTTCCAGCCAAACCATTTGATGGATTCATCTGACATTTTCAGGGATGTTTCTACGTATCAAAGTTAAGAACTGATTAGTTTTTGGGCATTCTGGGTAAATTTTAAGGTGGCTATTTTGGATTTTCCGTCCTAAATTCTTCACTGTCACACTGCTGTGTTTTAGGTACGATATTGTTCACGTCTGTGCCTTGTTAACCATGGTTTTATTCAGTGATCTTTTTCTATTATATTATTTTTCTATCAAACACCTGCATAAATCAAGTAATTTATTGAATTTGTCACTATTGGTGATGATAGCTAAACTTGCATATATGTACACTATCTGATATGTCATTATTCATTGACACTGAAAACATAGTGCTATCATTTTTACTTTTAAGGTATGCAGGACAGCCCTAGTTTACATATATAGTTTTCACTCAAAAGTATTTTGGCAACCTAATTAAACTACTAAGATTAAGGAAACCACCAATTAGTCAGTCCATTCCCTTGTACTGCAAGCTTGATTAACAAAGTATTTTGAATAAATGCAAAATGCCAATTATAAAATATGCTAATTTGCATATATGCACAATATCTAACAAGTTATCATTGTATCTAATATTATACAAATATTTAATTCTATTGAGGTGAATACCTGTGCATCTTTCACAAGTGATATTCCACGAAGCCTGAAGGGCTAGTGGAATATCATCTTGTGAAAGTGTCACAGGTATTCACCGAAAATAGAATTAAATATTTGTTTTATTATATCAGTGTCATAACATCTTCT